ATCTTTCCTGTCAGCCATATATTCCTTTTCTAGGTAACATTCAACTCAGGAGTTCTGTTCTGGCTAGTCTGTGGAATAAAAATTGTAATACAAGTACACCCATTTGCGATTCTTTGTCCCACTCCCATAGCAAGTAATTCTGAGTTATCACTCTTTCTAGCAGCTGATGTGCTAAGCTGAATATTAGTTTTCAGAGTCAGGTTTTCCCAGATGGCAAATGCTCCAGAGTTCTGAAAGGCAATATAACATGATTCTCTCTCTCTCTCTCTCTCTCTCTCTCTCTCTCTCTCTCTCTCTCGGTCCATGTCAGTTTATTGACAGCTAGAATACCATTGTCAATGCATCACTTTTATTTGCCCTGTGCTTTCCTACTGTTTTCATCAGCTGTGTAATGCTGCTTTCTTCCTCTAGATGATTAGTATCCTGCTGTTTCTTCTGTTAATTGTTGAGTTCACTGAGAGTTTTGTTTTGTTTTGAAACCTGATCAGCATTCATATGTTATTTTCTAAAATTGCTTCAGTCCTTACAGAGCCATTCTGTTAATGGCAGACTAAGAAATGCTGCTTAATTGTAACAAAATTATGAGGGTGGGAACCCTCAAATATTACAAATCATTTCCTTCCTATATTACAGGAAACACCACTTCACCTCCTAATACACGGAGGAATGAAAACTGTCCTTATTTCAAAACTGCTTACTTAATGTTTTCAATAAGATTTAGGCAATTTTGCAATTGGATTCTAGTCCACATGACAATAAGAATATTTAATAATAATTTTAAAAGTTTGGAAAAAATGACTATTTTATTATTCTACTAAATGTAGGCATTTAACTGTATGCAATTGACTGAGAACAGACAGCAAATCCAGAAATCTATGAAATGGCTTGAGATTGCTGGAGAGATGTCACTGAACCGAGGATGTACGTACTTCCAAGTTTGTCTTTGGCCACATTGTTCCATGCAGCATCTGTATTATTACTATTATTACTATTACTACTACTACTATTACTGCTACTATTACTGCTACTATTACTACTACTACTATTACTACTATTAGTATTAGTATTAGTATTAATATTAATATTAATATTATCACTACAGCCTCCCTCTGTTCTCTGAAGCATCAATGCCTGCTTCTGTAATTTGTCACAAAAAGTATGGAATTTCTGAACTCACAGCACATCTTAGTGCCATTTA